TTCTTCTTCTTCTTCTTCTTCTTCTTCTTCTTCTTCTTCTCCTCCTTCTTCTCCTCCTCCTCCTTTTACGACTAGTCCTTCTACTTCTTCTACTACTGCTACTACTACGATTAGTCCCCACTCCCCAATTTCCACCCCGCCCCTCCCCTCCACCGTCCCCTCTCTTTCCCTCTCCGTTCTACTTCCCCTTATCCTTACTCATACTCCAACTTTTAAAGAAGTATTACCGGCCATTTGGTCGTCAAGGTGTTACTGATAGTCTCGTTATCAGTAAAGCCTTTTTTTAACTGCAAGATCTAGATAGGACTCAAGGTAGGATTTTCGATAAACTTATTTTGAACTTAGATTAAACCGGAATACAATTTTGGCGGCGGAATATCTAAGATCGATGTTTGTCTTAATCCATTTTAATTTAGAATCATTTTCTCAACCCGCAACAAGGTCATTAGCCTAGTTGGGGTATCAATCTAGAGCCGCCTGCAGGTGCTGTGAATTAACAGATCGTTCGTGAATGATCCCAGGCCTCAGCGCCCACAGCTCCTGCCTATGAGCTAGCCTTAAGATTTCGACAAACAAACAAATTAGTTCTGCAAATATTCCCATGTTTAATTTAAAAAGTCAGTTTGGGCAAACATATTTTCGGCAAATCTTCATCAGGCCAGTAACTTTGCTAAACAATTAAAGTTTAAATGTCTTTCATCAGACGGACTGATTGGTCACGTGAACCATCACCTAACTATCTTTCACGCGGAGTAGTTCATTTTGTAATGTTTCTGGCTGAGCTTCACAAACTGGGGGTGTGATTAGAGGATGTCAGCTAATAAGGTAGAAATGGTTATTGAGAAGAAGACAACTCGATCGCCGGGACAATACTTTCATTCGCCTGACGTTTCGAGATTCGTCGCGGATTTGTCATCAGAGACATAGTCAAATAGCGGTAGCAGAAACGGGTCGCTACCTCCCCCCCCATCACCTAAATATCTTTCGCGCGGAGTAGTTCATTTTGTACTGTTTCTGGCTGAGTTTCATAAAATGCTTCAAATATAAGTTAAGGTTAGTTTTGGTTTGGATTAAAGAATAGGAAAAGATAAAAGAGTAATGGGCTGCGATTAGGGTTAAGGTTAGTTCTAAGGTTACGTTTGCCTACCGCAGATCGTGTTATCAACTCCAACCTTCTTTACCCAATAACCTTGAATTTTCTCTTTTCCACTCATTTATCTACCCCTGATTTAGATACTGAATATCATGCCTATGTCCCAGTACCGCATTGGGTT